TTTCCTGGATGAAGCTGACTCGGTTAGCGAAATGTGCGTTGCGAGACACCATGTTTGTGGTGGGAGGGAAATGGTTTCAATAGAATAAAATGATCGTCTCATCGTTATCAAGAAGTCTTTTATAATATTTACTTTCATTAATTAATTGTGTCACATTCGTATAGATCTGCCGTAATTATTTCCGTTGACAATAGTGGAACGTTTCATGTTTATAGAAAATAAGCCCCGGCGAAACCGTATACTAGGTGTCTGCCTACACCTTCAAGACTCATGCCTTTCATTTGAATATACAGACATGAAATCGTGTGTAAATTAAACAATCAGTCAACAGCACGCCACATTTTAATAAATTATGTCTTGATAACGAATATTAATGACAATTCTTTATTGTCTTTGTACTGTAATTTGAATATCTGATAGATAAGTCATTCAATAAACTGCATGTAATGTCATGATCTTTGAGTCGTTAATGAATCTAATTGAGTCCATATCGGTATCAGTGCAGGAAAATAAGAAAAAAAAATATGTTAAACGGTTTTATTGAAAAAAAAGCTAATAACGATGTAGAAACTGTACTAAAAGCTTAAAAATAACTAGGAAGGTCCTGGGTAGCAGTCATCACACCAGTTTCCCCAGCAATCTACGGTTTTTATCAGATAAAAAAAAATAAAATCGTTTGGCATAGTTTTTACATGTTCACTCAGGTTACTTGAAAATTTCTTTACTTATTTTATTTTCAAGTTTTTAGTTTCTAATTTTGTTACTCAAATCTTTCAGCGCCTCAGTATTACAAGGTTTATTTTCCCACAATTTGTTGCAATCTAACTGCTCAATACATAAACCTTCCAAAGACTTTACTCGCCTTAATGCCACGTGTGCTTTTCAGCCTGAATATACAACTGCGTGGTCAACAGTGCTGCCTGCATTTTGTGGACAGTGGAAGCCCATGACAAAATTGAGGGTAACATCCTTTGAGCCGTGCCATAATTGAACTTAGCTGGAATCTGTATGACCGTAGGATTGATAAGATTTTCGCCGTCTCTTCCAAAGTTGATCTGAACTGACGGTATATCTGTTACGTACATTTGAGTTCGACGAAACTGAGCCCAAATAATTTCTGCAAAGTAGCCGATAGCGCCGTTCACCAATCCTTTCGAAACGTCAATATTGGACCGCCATAGAAACCAGCATATCCTCAAATATTTGGAAGGCTTCAACATTTTGAGCGATCATGGATATGGCTTTCGAAAACAAAGATCAACAGGCGACTTTTTGTCATATTTTTCATACTTTCATCCATATTTGGAATGACGCAATCGAGAAACATGGAGAATCAAGGGTTTGCTGGCCAAACTTCGATGCTATGTCTTATCAGATCATTTTTGTGTGAGGCTCTTCAGTTTCTTGAAAGAACGTTTCCTGCAAGTAGTCGTCGACGGATATCTCTTGAATAGTTTCACCATCAACGCTGGTGTTCCTCAGGGATCCATATTGTCTCCAACTCCCTTTTTATTGTATATCAACGACTTATTGGAAAACAACAAGAATACAATATATCGTTTTGCTGACGACAGCACACTTGTCTCGTCATTTCATTTGGATTCCTGGACATCGACTTCGGAGGCACATCTTCACCGGCAGCAAGAGGTTGCATATCTTAATGAGGATCTAAAAGTGATTTCGAATTGGGGTGAAAGTAACCAGGTTTGCTTCAATGCCACAAAAACCAGGCATCGGTTTTCTCCAAGAAGATAAATGTCTCCGAACCGGATATAATAATGTCAGGTCAGATAATTCCGCTTCCTGACTTTGATTCCACACAGAGCGGTACATATCAGAAATACGCGAGGGACTCTGGCTGCTCATTGTTTTCAGGTTCAACTCAGAACACATCGAACTTTACTATTTGAGAACTCTTTCATCTGGAGATCTGCGTTTATGTGGAATAAACTTTCTGAGAACGTTTTTACAAATGAATTTTTTTTGGTCCCTTGAGAGCTGTCTGACTTGTCCATTTAGTCCAAGTCTTCAGAAAACACTGCAGCCTCTTGGGCTTATTGTGTTTATTCTCCCATCTTCTCATGACACTCAGTCCATCAGTCTCGTTCCCTGTACTAGTTTGTACAGGTTCCGTGTTGGATGTTCATCATATTCTTCTGGACGTAATTTTGTACGTCCATATATTGCCTGCCTCCTGTCATTCAGTGCCTCACATTCGCATAAGATGTGTAGAGCTGTTTCTATCTCTACGTTGCATAATCTGCAGCTGAGGTCTCCGTTGTCCATCCCCATTTTATTCAGGTGTCCTCTAAGCGGACAGTGACCGGTTAGTAAACTTGTAATTATTCTGAGCCGATCCTCACTATATTAAAGTAGTTCTTAGGTTATCTTCTCGAACGGTTTCCTAATGAAGGTTCTACTGTGTTTGTCGCCAGGTACTTTTGTCCAGTACTCTGTTTGCTTCTCATTGGTCCATGTCCTAATCTGGTTTCGTATCAATGATTTTGGTACCTCCAGAGCTGGTTCAGGACCTATATATGAAGTTGATGATCCGTGTCTAGTGCATTCATCAGCTTTATCATTACCTGCGATTCCTGAATCCCCTGGCACCCAAAGTTAATTTGTTCCTGTTGGCAAGTTCATTCAGTTCTTCATGGCATTCCCAGACCAGTTTTGATGTCACCTTAGGGTTTGTCAGAGCCCCTAGTGCGGTCTTGCTGTCTGTTAAAATATTGATCCGCTCATTTCTTTGAGGTCTCAATTGAAAAAGCCCTGCACACTGCAATATAGCATACACTTCCGCCTGAAAGACGGATGTGTACAGTCCTAACGGATAGCTGTAGTTTAAATTTCTATCCGCTTGGTATATTCCAGCTCCTGTTCTATGTTTGTTTTTCGATCCATCTGTATACCAGGTGTTTTTTCCAAACATGTTTTCGGGATGACTAATGGTCGTCCACTCTTCACGACTTACGATTTGGCTGTGAAGTTTGTGTTAAAGGTGTACTTCGGTGTCATGTGGTCCGTGCACATATTCAATATGTGCTCCTCAACATGTTCCGAAATTTCTGTTCGGAACAGTGTAAAAGAGGTAGATTCAATTCCAATGTGAATCGCTACTTCCACACAGGCACCGCTCTAAGAGCGCCTCAAGGATTTTTCTGTATGGCTTGTGTTTTGAGATAGTTGTGAAAAAATATATGATCCGCCATTTTGTAGCTGCAGCCATCTTGGATTCACAATGATACATAATTTATTAGATTGTATTGTCATCAAAACCAAATGTGTGAACCAAATATCAGATCAATCTGTCAACAGGAAGGGAGTCAAACTTCAATTACTGAATTTAACCCCAACAAACGGAAAGCTATAAAAAACGTTTATTAATAAAAATAACTATTCACGATAATTGATGAACTTATGTTATTTGAGTACGTGCTTTCGAAAGAAAAAGTTCATTGCCATTGTTTCATGCGGGCATATATGAAATGTATCATTGAGATTAATTTTTTAATCACTTCGGGCAATAACTCCTTTCATGGAAGAGATTGCTGAAGATTATATTACAATTAACCTCATGTGAATGATTTCTGTATACCTCCTCACCTTGAGGAATATTACGACACACATGAAGCACGCTGAATTTCAAATACACTGACCAATTAATTGGTGGAAATCAATATCACTATTCATGATAATAATCACAAGTCTTCGCAATATAGAGTTAATTTCCAAAGCTCCTTTCATTACGATAGTAGATTCCTGGTACAGTACTTAATTTCTAATGATACTCTATACTACTAGTACTCTATACTACTTCACTTAATTAACAGAGATTACTAATTGGTGAACAGGTAGTTTTGTCAACGGAGAATTTTATTAAAGAACTAAATTTGATAAAACAGATGGTAGTAAATAACAACTTCAATTCGGACATGAGTCATCACATTCTTGACAAAAACTATTCAAACAAGCCGTTGAAGATAAGTGAACTACTAACTAAACAGAACGACGACATGGCATACCAGATTCACAACATCTGATATAGACAAAAAAAAAACAAATCCAACATCGTCATGGACAACAAAACGAGTGTCTACAAGCTAAAATGTGGCTGGTGACTAAAAGTGCAGTTTCAAAACCAGAATTTCCAAACACAAAAGCCACGACTTTGACGTATTACGACGTACTTCATACAGAAAATGATGGACAAAAATCAAATCTGCTACAATCCCGGAAAACTAATAAACTTAAAAGCCGTAAATTCACTCACAGATTAATATACCCCCAGATCAAACAATCAGAAATCAAGAAATGGGTAACGCTAACATATTTTGGTAAAAGAACAGAGATAATTGCGGGTTTCTTCAGAGAAAATAATGTGGAAGTGGCATTCAGACCACATGCCAGGTTATCTCATTTCCTTCCTTTTCAATGTTAGAGATAAAGTGGATCTGGAGTTTATAAGCTCAAGTGTCCGGAGTGTAATATTGTTTATGTGGGGCAATGTGGTCGAAATTTCCAAAAACGGTATGCTGAACATGAAAGGTCCTCCAGACTAGGAAAAAATGATTCAAACCATCCCTTGGCAAGCAACCACAAGTTCCCGAATCTAAACGATACGGAAATTTTGCACTATGCTAGGAAGGATTGCAAACTCAATTATTTGGAATCCTTGGAAATTCACATGCATAAACATTGCGCATGCAACCTGTTGAATGATCAAATCGATTTAGTTTACTCACCGGTTTGCAAATTAGCACATCCACATTGTCACTTGTAAACAAAATTCAGGTACTCAATCAAGCTAAGTACCCTATTATTATCTACAGTGCTGTTATATAAGGACTAATGTAATCTATCATTATTAGTTCAATGTATAAGTTTGAAAATGTCCTTGTAGGACGAAACTGCAGTAAAAAAAGCGATTTATTCCAATTTTCTGAGTAATAAATGATTGATTACAACTTGATATTCAATTTATTCCTTTTTTATTGCAGGGAATTCTACTATTTATAATAATTTCTGACGAAAGGCGATGTTCTAGTGCCAAAGAGCAGGTGAGTGAATGATTGACTAAGGATAATCATTTTACGGCTTGTAAACGTAAAAAATAATGTTCCAAGTTTTTCACGTTATCGCTTCATGAGATTGATCCTGTCCTTCAAATGTGGAGTTGTTGATATTTTTTCAAACCACCAGATTATTGAAAACAGTGTGTTTTTCGTAAATTTCTAGGACTATACATCGACAACGGTCTCATATTCAATAAACATGACAAAAATTTGAATAACTTGTCCTTTTGTGATGCACTGTTTGGAACCTTTGTTGTAGTAATGAATATTACTGGAGTTTTTTCCCAACATCAAACCGCTATTTCAACACCTCGACACGTGTTTCGAAAACGTTGTTTTAACACCTCGACACGTGTTTCGAAACCGTTGTTTGAACACCTCGACACGTGTTTTATGAGTTCTTCTTCTCATTTATCACCAAATATCAACTACTTTTATACAGCATATTATTAGACGAAAACCGAAACAACTTCAAATCAAGAAAAGAAATCAAATCAAGAGGAAGATCAAACTCTTGAAGATGATCACTTGGTGAAGCAAACACGTGTCGAGGTGTTAAAATAACGGTTTGGTGTTGTCCTCTGGTTGTTATGCTATGAAAATTACTGCAAACAAACTAGGATACTCAACTGCAAAAACAGTATTACGACTCCTTGATAGAGTCACATTTGCGATACGGTATCCCATTCTGGGGATTGTGCACTGGTAATGTTCTTCAAAATGTTTTTGTTTCACTAAAAAGAGCCCTGAGATGCCTCTGTAAACTGAAATTTCGCGATTCGTGCAGACTTTACTTCAAGCAACACAACATACTCACGGTAAAGTCTATATTCATTTATTTATTTATTTATTTGTAATACAATACTCTACAGGACATAGCCCAATTACAGAGCAGGAAATAACAGAGTATAATAAATACATCACAAACAATTGATTGTAATGTCTACAAACACTATAGTCCGTTCATAATTTGTCGATAGCACAAAATGAGGGCCCAAGTCATAAAATGGTCGTAAAACTCGTAAAATCATAGGCGGAGGTTCCTGAGGTGTTTATTCATTAAATATAAAGCTTCAGTTTATATTCGAAACTTGCCTTGAAAGGGTGAAGTTGTTACGAACGAAAATAATTTTTGGTTTAGTACATTTTTTAATCGCATTTAATTTACGGCTCGTTGGTGTTTCGNTAAATAAAAATACAGTTTACAGTACCTACAGTTTAAGAATATTAATATATTTATTTATTTAAAGTAACTAATGTTTTAATCATATACTCTACGACACTGGTCACTCATTTCCACTCAAAATACCTACATAATCGGATTAAAAGTTTTATAGCTGTATTGTATTTCTTCAGATACAAGGTGGGTTAGTCGAAAACATCTTAAACTGCCAGTTTTAGTTTGGTTTTTGTTATTATATCATATTAGCTGTCCTCTCTGTATTTCAGTTCTCTAATGAGGGTCAAACTTGCAGTGAGCTATCAACAAATTATGAACGGACTATACAAACTTAATATATCTAAACTATCGCTAACACAGTTTGTCACTTTACACATGGTATGGATCGGAGAATTCTCCAGAACATTTGTGCGGGATGTTTTTATATAGAAAGTACTCGGGTGTCTGGAACAGATTCTAGGAAAGCAAATATTAAACTTTTCAAGTAATGTTGGGCAGTCAACTATGCTTTTGATAATTTTATAGGTGAGTACAACACTATAATATTCACGCCTTTTTTCGAGACTGAAAAAGTTATGCTTTTGTAGCAATCCAGAGTGGATTGTTCCTATTGAAGGATAAATGCCATCAGTTAGCACTTTTAAAAATCGTCGATAAATTGCTTCTAATCTAATATGATATTGATAAAAGGGGTTCCACACAACTGACGCGTATTCTAACTTTGATCTTAGGAGAGCATAAAATAGAGTTTTTAAGGTCAATGTTTCTTTGAAATCACTACACACGTGCACACGTGGAGGAGGAGGACGCCAGGAGGAGGACGCCAAGATCAGTATATGTTTCTGGTCTCACCAGGGAAACGTTTTCTATTAAATAATCAAAGATCAAGATGTTCGTTTTTAAACGGTAGGACATGACCTTACATTTATCCGGGTTTAGCGACAAGTTATTTCGATAACGCCATTCTACAACCCGTCCTACGTTTGCTGAGAGGTTCACACAATCATGTTCTCAACGAGGCAGTATAGTTTTATACTTGGAACAGTGTGTCTCATGAATTAACACAAACAAAATTTCATTACAGAGAGTAGGCATGTCTACTCTACCCGTCAAAGTAACCATCTCAAACTACCGTCACCATTACCACTCTCAAGGATTCAATTATACCTTAACTATTGAACGGAACGAGCTATGGAGGTCGGGTAAAATTCAGGTAAAAAGGTACTACTTTTTGACATAATAATGATTGTGGTCACGTGGCTTTGTGTCAAGAGGGCACCATCAACTTATTTTTGTAAAGGGAGATCACGTGGCTCTTGGTTCCATACAGTGTTTCTTCATCCATTTTGATATAACGATTCGTTTCAATACGAGTGTATTTCACACCCGCGAGACCGAAATCCCTATGATAGTGTTACCTTTTTACCCGTGGGTTGCCCAATTCAGTTGAACTGTAAACTAAAACTTCAGCTGTTATTCAACTGTCTATCGCCTTATTGGATCGCTTCGCGTACCGCACTGTCACTGACACTTGACTGTCCCGATATGCGAGTGGACCGAGTTTATATTTGGCAATCGAAGGCGGTAGAAAATTCAGTGGAATTCCATGGAAGCAGATAGCATTATTCTCGCCACATCTAGAACGGCCGCGAACATTCGCAAAACTTCAGCCGGATTGGACGCGCTCTTAGCCACGTCACAATTGGTTTATGGTTACCAGTGGCGGCCGGCGTTATTTTCTTTAGGGCGTCATTTATAACAATATTCATTGATCAAAGTAGTTGCATAGAAGTTAATTGTACAATATTGGATAAAACATTTGATGAAATCACTTCATGAACTGACGAGGATCGGATATGTGATAACTGGAATACCATGTAGTTTTTCATTTACAATGAAACATAAATTTCCCGTAATTTCGGTGTACGCTGAAAATTATTTCATTATGCATTTTATCCAATTTTTTTCATGTATATTTCAATATCTACAAGTGAATTCTAATATTTTTCAGAATTCGCACTCCTTCAGTTATTCTATAAACAGTGGTGAAGTTATAAGTCATCACAGTGAAGAAACTAACTGGGGTGTAGTGAGGGGCTCGTTCAGCTTTTTGCAGCCTGATGGTCAGATTCGAGTGGTCCAATATCAAGCTGATGAAAAATCTGGATTCAAAGTTGCAGTTCATTATCGGAGATTTCTCAGTGAGTACAATATGTTATATTTTTGATTGGGAGGATTCTTCAATAGGCCAAATTACATTATCTTGAGTTTCTTGGTGGGCTGAAACCCCGACACTAATATCTATACTAATATAAATGCGAAAGTTTGTGAGGATGTATGTATGTATGTTTGTAGCTGTTTCACGCCTAAACGACTGAACGGATTTAGATCAAACTTCACATAAATACAGCTTACACATAAGAATAACATATTAGCTACAATTTACAAAGGTTATGTGTAATTTTGGTCGTAATAAACGATAAGTATTAGGTAAGTCGGAACAATTCTTGCTTCATGAGAGTTATCTTGGCTTACGCTATCTATACCGTTGGAGTTACATGAGTTACATGCAAATAATGTACCGTAAGATTTTTCATCTTAAATGGTTATAAATAAAAGTCTGCGATAGCATATACCTACCTCTAATGTGATAGCCACTATATGCAAAATACTGAGCCATAAATACAATTAAATTGGATACTTTTTTACAATGCACATTTCAGAATATCTGTCGAATTCTTATAAAAAATGATACAATTATCGTTTTGAATATTTAACAATGACAAATTTTGTCTTTCACACTGAGTAATTTGTACAAATCGTTTGAACGTTATAACGATAAGATTAACCTTGGCGCAACGCCATTAGCCATTATGCGTCGCTTCTACTGACGCTGCGCGGGGGCAAGGGACGGTCTAAGCAATGAAGCGCCATCGCCGAGAACGTGACCCGAAGACGGGATGACGCGTGAGTACAGACGTCGTTGACGGTTGTGTTAGTTTCGCGAATTTCTTTATAGGTAACATAATTCGCTTCTCGAAGCTATTCATTACTTAAAGGAGTTGGTATATTTTTTTAGTTACTGTATTTGTGAATCAAAAATATAAATTAGTAGCTGTTGCCCGCTCTTATATACATGTACAGCCGAATCTTGAAGTATGCAAGTAGGTTGTTTGTATAACATGAGCATCAAGAATGAGAATCAGGAGTTTCCACCCCCAAGGGGGAAAACCGTAAGAAGGACTAAAAATCTCTAATTTCAAAATAAACTCGATACAAAGATGGATAGCTCGTGCAGAGAAGTAACTTTTTTCTCACTTACTAATATTTCATGGAAAAGAAGGTTATATTTCCAACTCTCAGAAATATATCATTTGTTGCTTAGGAGACTTCCAACCTTCTATTGATGTAAACCAGTAGTGTACGTTGAACGTTAAGAACGGAAAATAATTATCTTGCAAAATACTTCACAAAATTCAGAGCCCCATCACAATATAAAAATATTGATTCGAAAAATATCCTTTCTGAACCCCTAAAATGATTGAGACTACTTCTTCACAACTTCATAATTCTTTTTCCCAATGAATATCTTCTCGGACAATTTCAATGTGTAGCCTATTTTTAGATCTATTATATTTTATCCTTATGTAATGATATATAATGATATATTACATGATAAATCAATAGAAAGGTCACTTGTTCGTGATACGTGACAGATCAAACACCAAACAAACTTTATCTAAGACCTATGTTGATTGACACCAATCAATTAGTTGCAACTATTTCAAAGGTAAATCAGTAAAATTATTGATTAATGAAATAGTACTCGTGTGAAACTAGTTCACAGTCTACATAATCTGTCAGAAAGGCTTGTTTCAATTAGTAAAATATCACTTGATTAGAGACATTTTCAGACTTTGTACAGGTGCAATTAAGGGTTAAAATATTGATCAAGTCCACGACTCGTAGATTTAACTGTAGCATTTGCAGAATTCTTCCACATACCTAGAAAATATAACGAATTCACCTGCGTAGAACCGATCCCAAGGGTATATCCAAATAAAAAGTCGCCTACATTATAATTCTAGATAATGTAGCTTTCCTATAGTGAGAGAATCATCAAACTCTTTTCAGTAGTCTAACAGTTCATTGATTGAAGCTGTCTCTTTCCGACTTTGACTAAAGGCCACCATACACTGCAATGTTGCCCGACAATTTTAACCTTGGAGAGTAAAATTGTGCGTGCAAAATTGTAGGAACGAAGCGTTCATATATTATCAGGTCACTAATTTCTCACGTAGTTTGGACAGCGACACGATGAAACGAGCACATAAACTGGCAGTGGCAGCGGCATTAGTGATAAAATGGCAAAATAGAAAAAAAACGTCGCAGGTGGTCCAAAGATTGGCTGCTAAAAAGACAGCAATTTTCACATATCAATACGTTCACTGAATTGAAGTTACAAAAAGACGTTACATGCGTCAACATATCGTTAAATTATTTCAGCAGTTTTCATTTTCAGCACTTCATAATTTCACAGTAATTCAATTTTATCTGTTCTAGCATAGAATTCATGCCTTTCCGTTTTAGACAATGGAAGTCCTGAATATTTTTTCTTATCTATTACTGCATTATGGGGAGGNTTAAAGGTGTACTTCGGTGTCATGTGGTCCGTGCACATATTCAATATGTGCTCCTCAACATGTTCCGAAATTTCTGTTCGGAACAGTGTAAAAGAGGTAGATTCAATTCCAATGTGAATCGCTACTTCCACACAGGCACCGCTCTAAGAGCGCCTCAAGGATTTTTCTGTATGGCTTGTGTTTTGAGATAGTTGTGAAAAAATATATGATCCGCCATTTTGTAGCTGCAGCCATCTTGGATTCACAATGATACATAATTTATTAGATTGTATTGTCATCAAAACCAAATGTGTGAACCAAATATCAGATCAATCTGTCAACAGGAAGGGAGTCAAACTTCAATTACTGAATTTAACCCCAACAAACGGAAAGCTATAAAAAACGTTTATTAATAAAAATAACTATTCACGATAATTGATGAACTTATGTTATTTGAGTACGTGCTTTCGAAAGAAAAAGTTCATTGCCATTGTTTCATGCGGGCATATATGAAATGTATCATTGAGATTAATTTTTTAATCACTTCGGGCAATAACTCCTTTCATGGAAGAGATTGCTGAAGATTATATTACAATTAACCTCATGTGAATAATTTCTGTATACCTCCTCACCTTGAGGAATATTACGACACACATGAAGCACGCTGAATTTCAAATACACTGACCCATTAATTGGTGGAAATCAATATCACTATTCATGATAATAATCACAAGTCTTCGCAATATAGAATTCATTTTCAATGCGCCTTCCATTATAATACTAGATTCCTACACTACTAGTACTCTATACTACTTCACTTAATTAACAGAAATTACTAATTGGTGAACAGTTCGTTTTATCTATGTCAACGGAGAATTTTAATAAAGAACAAAATTTGATAAAACAGATGGTAGTAAATAACAACTTCAATTCGGACATGAGTCATCACATTCTTGACAAAAACTATTCAAACAAAACGTTGAAGATAAGTGAACTACTAACTAAACAGAAACAAGAATTTCCAAACACAAAAGTCACGACTTTGACGTATTACGACGTACTTCATACAGCAAATGATGGACAAAAATTGAATCTGCTACAATCCCGGAAAATTAACAAACGTAATTAATCAACGCAGATACAATCCAGAAGTTAGTCAGAAAACAAAGCCGTAAATTCACTTATAGATTAATATACCCCAGATCAAACAATCAGAAATCAAGAAATGGGTAACTCTAACATATTTTGGAAATAGAACAGATATTGTT